CAAAAACTCGCGGTATTACTTTTTAATACCACCAAATTTACCAAATCTACAATGACATTATAAAATTACCAAATTGTAATTTTTACGTTTCAATTTTTCTTTGTTCTGGTACTTGAAACGAAAATTTTCACTTGTGGTGTCGTTACGTCGTTGCAAATGAAATGATCGAAATTTCCAGCTTTCAACTTATTCCTTGAAAATAATATTAATCGAATTATGATTTGTTCGTGTGAAAGGAAGTTATAGTTGTTACAGTTAAAATCATTCTTCCATTTGGAAACGTCTGCACATCAATTTTATTTGGCAGGTAATTTTTTTCTCTTAAAACCCGTTATGATTTTCATTGCAACGTCTGGAGTTTTCTAAATTCAGTATCGATTATAACTTATGCCTTTGCAATAAAATGATCCGACAAAACATCAGTTGTGTGTCCTTTTCTTGGTTAACTTTAAGCTTTAAATAAATATTACTGCATGATTGTGAAATCAGACATTTTGCAACGACTTAATATTAACCCTCGATCAAGTACAAGTACGTATTCAAAGCTGATCAAAGGCATTGAAATATTTCATGTTCGAAAGTTTAATTGAAATCAATTAATCAATTTTATTTTCATTTCATACTGTGTTTTATTTATTCGTATTTCAATTTTGTGTATTTTAAATAAATATGACAGTATTTTAATATTTCTTAATACATTCAAATATTCACATTTGACTGAAAAGTTTGTTTCTACTTATTATTATATTTCAATCATTTCCTAGTATTCATTGTATTTATCAACGATCATTGCATTCGTTCATTATTCTATGATCTCTCGAGAATTTCAGAGCGAATAATATATGTATTTTTATACGTATTATAATTTTTATTTTATAGTTTTATATATATGTATTTTAATCGATGTAACTCGACATTCTCTATTAAAAAAACCTATGTGTATTGAAAAATTATTAATTTAATATAAAATATAATATAATAAAATTTATATATATATATATAGGTTGAAATTTTATTATATTTTATATTGAATTAATAATTTAAATTAATAATTTAAATATTATATATATATATTGAAAAATTATTAATTTCAACCTATGTATCAACCTATGTATATTGAAAAATTATTAATTTAATATAGAATATAATATAATAAAATTTGCATTAATGCACATAACATACAAAAGTATAAAATATTCAAAAACAAATTTTTGTTAAATTCTATTTCTCTAACGATGTTTATAAAAATTTTTAAAATCCACATCGTAATTATAATAAATTTCCATTATATAATAAAATTATAAAATACAGAATTATATATTATGTACCACATTATATAAAATAATAACTAACCATACTATATTATATATTATATACCATGTTAAATATTATATATACTATATATAACTGACTATAATATATTATATAAAATAACAACAATTTATTTAAATAACGTTCAACACACTTGGTGCGTAAAAACATTACCAATTAACTAAAGTTCACGCAATTAACTAAATCACTGGTGACGTTCCAAAACGCGAAAAGGTCAATTTCTCTCCACGGTATATTGTCAAATTACAAGGTACGTCCTGCGTCCCTTCAATCTCCTGTTGTTTCTAATTTGTAGCTGAACGAGCGAAACGAATCGTGTATACCACCCGTGATTTTCGAATTACACGCGTATAAAAGCGGCCGCGGGCGATTGTTCCTCTTGCGATATTTTGTACTCACCATTCGGATAGGTGGAATTGATTTCACCGACGTCGCCCAATTCGGATGGCATCGATCCGACAAGGATCACATCCTCCGGAGCTTCCTCCAGCTCCAGTTCGATTTTCGTCACGTGTTCTAAACAGACGATAAACGAACAATGGTAATTATTATTAGTAATAGATAAAATTACGTAGGTGGACGAATTGCACGAATTCCTTGTTTTATTAGAGTGTTGTGTGTGTCAGTGTGACATTTTTATGGGGGGGAAAAAAAAAGTATTGTTTTCCAAGTATTTAACTTGTGATATTTATATTGCATTTCAGTATCACGTATTTGTAAGAATTTGAAACATTGATAGTGTAATTAAATATAAAATTATTTGTTAAACTTGGTAAATTGCATTGTAGTTAACTAAGTTTTTATGATATATTGTAATAATGTAATAATATGTTGTGCATTGCATTATATAGTATACAGTTATATATTATTAATATATAGTATATATTAATATATATATAGTATATATTAATATATATAGTAATATATAGTATACAGTTATATATTATTATAAATTTTTTGTAAAACAATCAGTTTTGTCAAACATTATAATATATTGGAAATTAATTTGTAATGACATATTTATTCAATGTATAATAATTTACAAATATAGTTGCCTCTTCAATTAATATATAGTACAAATAACTTATAAAGAAAATATTATTATATATATATAAAGAAAATATTATTATATAACTTATAAAAAAAATATTATATATATATATATATAATAATAATATATATTACAAATAACTTATAAAGAAAATTTTGAAATTTCAGTAATAAATACTGACATTAAATATTTCAGATATGATGTAAAACAAATTAAATTATAATTACAATTTGAAATCAATTGTATTTAAAGCACTTAACAAAAAAAAATGTTTGTGAAAATAAAAAGGAAGATTTGAAATGATGTGAAAATATTATTACAACTGTTATTAAATATTATTATATATTATTATATTAGTATTCGAGACTCGAGGACCCATGATATGCATATAATAATATAATATAATATATTGTAAATTAAATTGTAATAATATATTTCTGTAATATATTAATATTATTACATAGTAATATTCGAGGCTTAACTCGAGTTCCAAAATAGGAAATGAACATTAACGTATAATACATAATAATATAATATATTATAAGTTAAATTATAATAATATATTTGTATAATGCATTAATACCATGATAATATATAATATTCGATTGTCGAACGCCGAAAACAGGAAACATACAATAACATTAAAACTCTAAATGGAGCATAATAATACAAGAAATGCATATAGATGCGAGACGAAATTAGAGATTAATAGTTACTTTAAAAGAATCGTAACAGAATTTTTATAGCAGGCAATCCCTGCAATATACTTCCTTCATGACTGACGTAGCATATTCCTGAAAATATAGTGCCCCACAGAGGAGTAATATTTCTTCTATTACGACTTTTACTATTTTATTATATATAATTTTCAGTAAATGTTGCTCCGATCTTCAATTTCCTCGGGAAAATCATGAAGCAAACAATGATGTTAATTACACTCCAACCCTGGGTCTCAATTTACTCATAAAGCGACGAGATAAGATAAAATGAATGAACTTAGGTGATGCATAGATGATTTGAAAGTTCCTTGATTTATCATTAACCCAACTTGATAATTTGAATTTGTTATTATTAATAGTAATTACTAACGATTTATTGTCAACTCAATTTTGATAATTTGAGTTTGATAATTCAACCGGAAGATGTTTATTTCATTCCATTCCATTTTACAATTTCTTACTTATGTTGTTACTCTTTGTGAATATATTTTTGTAATTTGATTGCATTCTAATGTACATACCACTACGATTGATGTGTTGATCCTTGTTTGGTAATACTGCGTCATGCCTTTTGGAACGATTTCTTCCCTCCACTCTGACGATCGAGAACTCTCTACGTTCCTCTGAAACGGTAAAGATAAATATTATTATTATTGTTGTTATTATTATTATTATTTATTATTTATTATTATTATTGTCATCGTTGTTGTTGTTGTTGTTGTTGTTGTTATTGTTACTATTATTATACGTTTGTTGGAACATGAAAGTAATCGAGGTGTTGTTGACAAAACAGTAAGATCGAAATAGTTAGGCAGAGTACCGCAAGATGTCTAATTGCGAATGGCCAAAACTCGAAGGTAGGCTGATTGACACGTAAATATAAATGCGCGGAAAAGCGACCCGTTAGATAGTTTGGTGCAGCTCAGTGTAGTTCGGTAAAAGTGAAAATAGAAATGAAAAGTGCATCAACCAGAGTGAATAAAGTGTTCTTGTCAGTCGTAATCGTTTAATTGTTCTACTGACATCGATATTACCGAACCAATTTAATCAATGCTATATACTATGGATATTATAAGTGAATATTATACGTTAATGTAAATAAGTATTGTTCTATTATTGTAATTGTATTGTAATTATTTTTATATTATTGTAATTTTAAATTATATATACATAATATATATAATTATAATTATTATATATAATTATATATATAACATATAATTATATATTATATATATAATTATATATAATTTTGTATAAGTTTTATATATAATATAAATGAAAATATAAATTTTGTATTATATATTATATATTAAATATTATATATTATGCATATTGTATTACTTATAATTTATGAATTTAATTGTTTATACAACATAAAATTAAAATAATATATTCTACTATTTACATATTTAATAAATATATATTACATTGTTTATATGTTTTAATATAATAACATAATATGATTATTATTATAATATATAAAAACTGTTATTAGAATTATACATCCAAAATATAATAAATAATAATAAAATAATAAAATAATAAATTATTGTTTAAATATGATACAAAACTGGGAAGATAAATATACTAAATATAAAGTTTATATATAAATATAAAGAAAAGTTTTAATATAACTGAAATATTGTTGTCATAAAATTATTATTATAATAAAATATTATATTACTATTATGATAATATATTATATTATTGCCATTATATTTTTACTATATTTTATTAATTATTTTATTTATTTTCTGGGAATTACATGTGTATTTATAGAAAATTTGAAGATGCAGAAATGTATAGATATTCAAAAATTCCGAACATTTTATTATTTAATTCTAATGTTCAAAGTTCAATGAAATGGCGAAAAAGATATCCTATTCAAGCTTTGAGAGGTCATTTTAAAGATGAAATTTCAATCATTCAAGACTACGATAGATTTAGTCACGAAAAAAGAAATTGTTTCTCTAGAAGCATTTGCATTTTTACAATTTTCGAGAACGCAATATCCTTGCTCCCACTTGCTACATTTTTAAAAAGAACTAGCATAGAAGAACTGGAGTAGAAGCTTCATGTATCAAAATGAGCCCCACGTAGACGTTTTATGCGACGTCTCTTTATGAAGTTGTAACATTTTAAAATATGGACAATTTTTCATCAGCTGTGCAGCAAACACTTTCGTCCACCTTAATACAATAATAATAATACTTTAATAGAATAATACCTAACGTAATAGTCTTTCATTTACTAAATTGAACTGCCAATCTCGTACGTATGAATAACAACAATAAAATATTTTATTCTATATATGATTTCATACAATGCATGAAATACCACAATATATAGTCTTCGCAAGATATAGTCTTAGCTTTTCGTTTCCTACACAGATCGTATTTCTTTGTTTCGATAAGAGTTTAAACAACCCACTTAATCGCAGAGAAAGGAAGTGTCCTAGTAAATCGCGGTCTCATATTTCAACGATGAAGGCTCGCTCGTGTCACTGTAGTAGTGAAAGCTCGACAGGCAGTGGATAAGGAACAAAAAGTCTGCAGAGAAAAAGGACGAAGCCAAGACAATTACATCAGGGTATCGTCAGCTTTCTTTCATTTCCCTCCCGGTTTCTTCTCTTTCATCCACCAGCAGTGGAAGAACGTTTCTTTTTTTAACTTGACGTCCTCGCCGACGAAAAACAGTGCAGTCGTTTCGTGGAGACCGCGTTCCACACACAACGTCCCAAATAGTTTTGGGCAAAATTTTATAATAAATAAAGTTTTATTCGCCACTGTATTGAATAAATATCCAATCGACTATGTATTTATTCGAATAGGATACGTATTCATGGTCTTTTCAGTGTTGAAAATACCAAGCAGAAGATACCCTAGAAAAAGTATAAAGAAAAATTGACCAATAATAGACACAGATATACGATCATTATTATTATTATTATTATCAGTATGAAATCAATTATTATTGCCGTTATAAATTAATATAATGTATTATTAATATGAAAAAATAAGTACACGACGCTGCAATCGACTATGAAAGAAAATTCGAACAAATAACGAGGCTCCCCTTTCTTCGAACAATGCATCACAGTTTAAAACTCACAGTTCAATAGTCTGTATCGAGGAAAAGCGAAGAACGAAATCTTTTGCCTCATGTGACTGCCCGAGGCGATTTCGGTGAGAAATAAACGCGTTTTGACAGAGCAATTCTCGTCGAAATACAAAAACTTCCCCTACATAAATGAATGATTCCAACACGAAGAAATATTCTTGGCAAAATATTCGCGAAATCTTGATTTACTATCACTTTTAATTCAGAAATAAATAATTAAGATTATGAAAATAAATCGTCAATATTATTATGTACAATATGTACAATATTAGTAATATACAACATAAATTCATAATTTATATTTCAATAGGAAAATTAATAATATTGTAAAATATAATTGTTAGTTACGATGATAAAATTGATGTTATCGCCGATTGGACGAGAAATAATATTTGAGAGATGATATCCTTTCGCGAGAAAATTTTCATAGTAGGAAATTTTAGTTTGCTTCTCTGGAAACGATATTAAAGTGTCGGTAACTGCTCTAAAATTAACGCAGCATCTGTTACTCAAAGTTCAAGTGGCTTCAGAATAACTTTCCGAGTAAGAAATTTAATTACTTTCATAGAAGATGACTTCGATTCCAAACGAATGCTGAATCTCGCATAAGTCAGTAGTATTCGTTAATCAAAGAACAGCAAATCGTCCAATATCTTCGCCATTGATCGTAATTAAAAAATTAAGTGAATGTAAAACAATAAATAAATAAATAATTTAGAAAAATTAAATAAATGAAACAATTAATTTAAATGCATATTTAAATGACATTTGTATGACATGTTCATTTAAATTTTGTATCTAATAATAAATAATTTTCAAGCAAATTTTTTTTTACCACCATGTCTCATTATAAAATTATAATGTGCTTATTATTCAAATAAATTCAGAGAATTATTTGTACAATTAATATTCTATTAAGAATTCATTGGAATAATTATATTTGCTAAATATTTCTTCAAAATTAATTTATAATAATTATACATT